GGGGTCATTGATGAGCCGACCTATAGTCTGTAAGAGTCCAGAGACGAAGTCCTGATATGGCTCGTCCGGCCCATGCCTCACATTAGACAAATCCTCTGTTTTAGCCCCTGTGGTAGGAAGCACCCTCCAGGCCCAAGTAGCACAAAAATTAATTTGCTGATAGGTTACTGGAGAGTACCCTACTTGATTGTTAATTCCTGCATAAGCCCCTTCACCCTTAAGCACGTCCGCCGTGATAGGTATCTGATGTGCGGAGTTTCACTCTACCTGTTGTTCACACTGATCAACATACTCTGCTTTCCAGAGTAAATAATTCCCTCCTGTTAAGGAGGCCTTAGTTATCATAACCCAATCTTTTGGGATAAGGGGTGTATTTTCAGAATTGGTCTTAAGTAAAGCTAAGGTGAAAGGAGTAGTGGGCCCATACTGGGTGGTTGAGGTTTTAAGCTCCTTAAGTGTCTTAAAAGAAATAGGCTCATGATCCCTAAGCATTTGCCCTGGGTTATTGGGATCTGGACGTTCTATCACTGGAAAACAGAATTGTTGCTATTCCCCAATATCCTCGCCTCTCTCCACAGCCTGCCTTAATCCTCAGAGTACACTAAAATCCAGAACCCTGCTCTTCGGGACAGGCTTGTCAAGTTGCCAGGAGCTAGGCTGTCGCTGCCCTGAAGGCAGTGGCAGAGAAGGGCCCCAGGGAGCAGGACACCTTTGCCGTACCGATATGCAGCCCACATGGCAAGGGCGGATCCCTCATCTATGGGAACCTCATCTTCCTTCTCCTCAAATGAGTCCTCTGGACTGATGTTATGCCTCTGCTTTTTCCTGGAACGTCCAGGTGGCCAGGACTCGTCCGGAGGCTCTATCCTTATCTTTTCAAAGTCCTGGACTGCTTGCCTAAGTTTCTTCACTATTGGAGGCTGCTGTTCTTCCTGTTCTTTCCAGGGACATGACGCCCCTGACTTAAGACTGTCCCACACTATTCCCCAAAGTGAAAGTACTTCTCTCGGAGCCTTCTCCGACTCTTTGAATGCTTGCCTCTCTCTAAGCTGTCTTCCAACTTGTTCCCAGACCTCAGAATCAAGGGATCCCTCCTCTGGGAACCAAGGACAGGTGTCCTGCACATGAGCAAGAAAATCCTCTAGCTGCTGTGTTGTCACAGCCCTACCACGCTCTCATAGTGTTGTCTTAAGAAGCTGTAAATAAAGCCGATGGTCCTTTCACCCTGACTGTCCCATGTTTTACTCCCACCGAAAATGGTTATAGGACTAACAGAGTGATCAGTTCTGTTCCCCCCTATACCGAACCCCGAATTTCCCTTCCTACCACATCCGACGCAGCGTACGCCTTTCCGAAGGGAGACTCCTCACCGACCATCGCTTTCAATCCGTGCTTAGGTCCCTGTTCAGGCTCCACCTGACGAGACCCGTGCGCCTACCAAGCGCTCCTGGCTCGTCAGCCAAGAGCTTACCGAAAGGGAACCTGAGAGGATTGGGTGAGAGCCGAGAAAATAAAGAAAGAGACGAAAAGCTGGGGGCAGGAGGGACCCAGCCTGCTGGTGACAGACTGAGACCTCGTTTATTGATTACACACAGGTTATATAGAGGAAGCAATTGCCTCTTTATAGGGAACAAT